CAAAATACAGGAGACCCAATCATTACCACAGCAAGAACAAAATTCTTTATACAGCAATGCCACACAATAAATAGATAACGGGCCGAAACATCATCGCTTTCGAAGCGATATAGGCTTGTTAACTCTAACACCTCCTTATGGCATAATCAAATGCGTCTGATAAATATTCATGTCTGTCGTGTCTTCGTTGTAATTTTCGCGCGCTTTATAATGTATGCGGAGATCATGTATACTAATTGTGTTGTAAGAGCGCCTCGTGGGACGAGACGGGCTAGGATACCACGATTTTTTTAGTCTTTTTTCTTTTTCTTAGAAATAAAGTTGATTACTGTAATCACAATGTCTTTTTGACAAATGTATATATCTTCGTGTCTTTTCGACATATGATATAGAAAGAGACTGAAAGATGACGTCACCTGAGGAGAATATGAAATCGAGGTCCGGCAGTCGATTTAAAAAAAATTCTATTATAATCCATTGAGACTTTTGGAATTAAAACCGGTGATTTTTAATAAGACGGTCAAGTACTTTTGGACGAGTGGTTCGAATTTGTATGGCACTCCGAATTATTTGTTTGAGCTCGGATCGTCTATAGCAAAGTTGAAATCGTGACCCTGAAAAGTTTTAATGCCGGATCGAGTCGACAGATTGCCCGGATACCAATTATGACAGTCATCCCCCCCCCCCCCCCCCCCCCCCCCCAAATTGAATCATTCCACTAATTTCTAGCTTTTTTGAACCAGCAAATGGTATTTATTAAATGTTGTTTCGTAAATCATTGAGTTTCATATTCTACCGTGACTTTATGGTTAATCTCTCGCGACTGCCGGACAGTGTTTTGATATAACTTCGCGTCCGACAGCCGATTTTCTCGGGGAAAAATGCTGGGGGAAATTGCCCTATTTCACTATGACGTCAAATCAAAACAATCTATTGTTCTAAAACCCGGAGTTATATCAAAACACTAGAGAGTTTTAGATTGACTTTTTTTCTCCCCGCAAACGTGACCACGTTTTCACCTTCTCACCAGGCGCAAATATTCTTTTGGTTTTCTACTACTTGGACTTTTTTGCGATTCTTTTTAAGATATTTAAGATATTTTTTAATGGTCAACTGACGTTTCACGTGAACGTAAATCTAAAACTCTCTACTGTCCGACTGTCGGACACGGAGACACTGCGTTTGAAAGAACGCAAGATCAGGTCGTCTTGAGTTCTTCTCATGGCATTCTAGCCAACAGTATTCTCTGATTGTTCTTTCTTAATCATGAAGACTCCTACAATAGAATTCCCCACTATCTATTTGATTTGTTGAAAAATGTGATCTTGCACCTCGTACTGAGAATTCTTACTAAAGAGAAGGAGAACTCCTCTTGTACATTTGGAATTAAACACAAGGCGGCCATTTTGAAAACAAAGATATAACCTCGATTTCATATTCTTCTCAGGTGACGTTATCTTCAAGGCTCAAATTATATATATATACATATATCGAAAAAACACGAATATATATATATATATATTAAAAGATAATCGATTCACAGACTTCTTATATATATATACACTTGATTGCAGAAAGGTTGTAGTATACATTTAAACATATATCTAATGAGATATATACAATACAGCCATTTGCAAAAATTATGGCCGTTTCAAATATACATACAAATATATCATAAGTATATCAGACACGTTGGGATATCTTTCTTGATATTTATTTCAGAAAGCCCTAGTGATAGACAACTCGGAAAAAATATCAGGGATGATATCCCATAATTTTTGATATATTTTTGATATACTTGTATATATATTGGAAGCGGCCATAATTTTTGCAAAAGGCTGTATGTGTGTATATATTGATTGCAAAAAGGTTGTAGTATACATTCGCTGCTCTCACTCTTGAGATATCAATTGAACGCTCGAAGATAAAATTCGTATCTCCGCACGCCCATGTAATATCCTCTCTCTCTATATATACAGCGATATGCAGAAATTCTGATCCAACCAAGTATACAGTATATAACTATATCGGGTCTATTACCCATAATGCACCCTATATAGTTGTATGACTTGGTTGGATCCTTTTGTACATACATAGAAGTATATGAGAAATTATGAATAATCATCGCTGATATTTTTTTCGGGTTGCCCATCACTAGGGCTATCTGAAAAAAATATCAGAGATGGTATCCCATAATTTCGCATATACTTTTGATATACTTGTATATATTTACAAAAGGATCAGAATTTCTGAATACCACTGTATAAATATATTTAAAACACTCATTAATAATTCATAAGCTTATGGTCCAATTGGAGCCACCATACACGTCACGTGCATGAACCTTTATACCCGATAAAGTCCTCTTCATTAGTATTCAAGTAATTTTATATAAAGACACATGTGTCTTTATATAAAGACACATGTGATCTTTATATAAAGACCACTCGAATACTATGAGGATGACTTCATCAGGGATGAAGTATGCATCCAAGTTTAGATGAAGACATAGAGCTTCATCAAGGCCATAGTCAACCCTAAAGATCTTTGACTAAC